CTGCTGTAACGTGAATCCCTCCCCGGGCTGCCTGGCCTGCCCCTGGCGCAGGTGATCCAGTCCCTTGCGTCCCCAGGGCTGCTCTCAGCAGGCCCCCCCCTGCCCCAGGTACCTGCCTCTGTGCAGAGACTGAGCGACAGTGACACTGGGCAGGGCGATGCTTGCGTGTCCCCGGGGCTTGGCCGGCACATCAGCGCTGCTCCTGCCGGCGCCCCTGGGGCATCAGCAGGGGAGGCGACAGGTGGCCACCCACGCACCCAGGCTGCAGGCCACTCCCCCTCCTCACCTGGGAGTGGCTCTGGTGGCCCCCGACACCAGGAGGCAGCGGAACCCCATCTCCCTGCTGCCTGCCTCCTGCACCCTGAAGGCCGGCCCTGGGGCTGCACTCAGTCCAGGTTACCAGGCCTCTGCTCTGTGCCAGGCCCAGGAGTCCTTGTGAATGTGCACATACACAAGCACACATGCACATGTAGGCACACGCATGCATGCACACATTTAAACACCGCTGCACACATTTACACAGGCACACAAATGCACACAATTGCATATTCACACAAACATGCATGAATTTACATTTATACATGCATACTCACCACACACATGTGTGCACGCAAATGTGTACACTTAGCATGCACACACAACATAATACACACATGGGTGCGCAGAAACATGCACACATGTCCATTGTGCATTACATGCTTACATGCTTACATGTCCTTCATGGAGTGTGGAAATATGCAAACACATAAATCTCCACACACGTAGCTACATACAAAAGCAAGGTGCACACTCACACTGGTCACACTTGCACATGAATACAGATCACACAACACAAACATGAGTGTAGACACACAAAAATGTTGGCACATTCACACAAAGATGCACATACCTAGATGCTGACATGCATGAACATTCACACTCATGCACACATATTCTCACACAGCCACACGCCCTACACACACCCACACACGCCCTACACACAGCATGCACACACCTACAAAGGAACATGCCCTGCACACAGCATGCACACACCTACACAGCCACACGCCCTGCGCACAGCATGCACACACCTACACAGGAACATGCCCTGCACACAGCATGCACACACCACACAGCTGCATGCCCTGCACAGAGCATGCACACACCTACACAGCTACACGCCCTGCACACAGCATGCACACACCACACAGCTGCATGCCCTGCACAGAGCATGCACACACCTACACAGCTACACGCCCTGCACACAGCATGCACACACCACACAGCTGCATGCCCTGCACAGAGCATGCACACACCTACACAGCTACACGCCCTGCACACAGCATGCACACACCACACAGCTGCACGCCCTGCACACAGCATGCACACACCACACAGCTGCACACCCTGCACAAGGAGCACACGTGCAGTCACACATCGCTCACCACACACTTTTGTGCAAGGGCCCTAGTGCTGGTGTTCGCTCCAGGCCTGGGTGGGACACAGGGTCCTCCTGGAGGGGCGAGGACACCATCTGGGAGGAACTGCCGACCAGCAGCCGCTGGCGGAGGGGGAGGCTGGGATGGGCCGGAGGTCGTCCCCCCAGGAAACTGGCAGCTCTGGGCCGGCTGTTCGGCTTGGCAGGCTGGGCAGGATGCCGCCTCGTAAACTTCATAATAACTGCCCCCCTTTAATTCGTTTGACCTTGACGACAGTAATTTATGACACGCATTAGAGCGCTGTCAGCTTCCCCTCCTGATGCGTAAACAAAGCACTCGGCCTGCTTCCTCTCCGCTCCCGGGCACGCAAAGTTCACCAAAGTCCCTGCTGAGTATCAAGGACTGACAGAGAGAGGATCCGTGTCTTCCTTCAGTAGCTGATAAGGGTTCCTACTTTTTCTGCGGCCCCGCCACGCCCCCGGGGCCGATGATGAGGGCAGGAGGGAGCAGGAGCAGCGAGTGCGGGCGGGCCCCCAGCCCCTCAGGCACTCTTAGGTCACGGCCCCCCTCATGCCCTGACCCCCGTCTCTTGCAGAGGAGCCCACATTCCGCTGTGACGTGTG